GTAAAATTTGATCTGAAAATGTATTATTTTCTCTGTCCTGCTATATTAAGTTGAAACTACTTTTTAATTATTGCCTACCCACAATAAGGAGCATCTAATAAGTACTGTTTTTTTCCAGTCACTTGAAGTCCAGTTTTCAGTGTCACATGAGTCAGAAATAATTCTAAAGGTGTGGTCACTTTTACAGTTGCTTTGCAAAAGTTTGCAAGAGAATTCCATTCATTTCGGTAGGAATCTGCGCGATTTGGAGGGTGAAAAATTCATTGCGCAGATTTCGCTCATTCAAATTGGTCACAAAAATTTGCTGCACTGACCAACAGAAAGCTGCTTGGTTTGAAAGTGACTTATGTGTGAGCAGACTGAATTTTGCCCACAAAATTTCACCCAAATTTTATGAACGTGACTGCACCTTAATATGCTGACTTAGTGCTCAAGAAACATTATTATAAATGTTTAAAACAGTTGTGCTGCTTAAAAAGATTAGGGGAACCATGATACGTTTTTTCAGGATTCTTTTATGAAATGAACTGCATTCATTTGAAATAGAAATCTTTTAAATCATTTTGGATGTCTTTACTGTCACTTTTGATCAATGCAATGCGTCCCTTTTGAATGCAAGATAAAAGTGTTCCATTTCTTTCAAAAACTAAATCTTACCGACCCAAACTTTTAACAGTAGTATGTGTGTATATAATTCTTGACACTATTTTTATCTGATTTTTAAAAATCTTTATCAGACACCCCCTGGGGGCAGCAAAGGGAGTAGTATGGGGTCTGCAGAAAAGTTCTGAGAAAAGTAGTGTAAAACAGTTTTAAAACCCCACATCAGTTCTGATTCTGAGGGAATAATTTAGTAAAAATTGTGCATATTTTATCACACAGGTCGGTTCTGAGTGTTAGGTTGTGTAGGATGCAATATCTAAAATGTTCCACTACTACTAAACCAATGTGCATTTGGTTAAACCGGATTGCACATGTGATTGAGATGCAGGTTTCTGTGGCACAACTATTCAGTAAAGTCACCCTTGAGCATGTATCATTCATTGCCCTTGTATATCTGGGCATTTTATTCACATTATCTTCTGCCCTTTACAAAATATGCTCTGTCAGTTTTGTTTTATTTTGTTTTTCCAGATGTTTGACATCTGGGCATTAAAGCCAGGTGTTTTGCACTTTAGCTAACAGGGACAGGCTGTTGACATGTGATTGTGTCCTACCTCACTAGCGGCGCGCTCTAGAGAGATTAGTCACCCACAATGCCCTTCACTTATATGCATCATCAGTATTGTATCAAACACAGAGGCTCTGGAACATAAATCACTGTCATTTCTCTTTCTAGTCATGAATGATAGCTTACGTTAGCCTGTTGCTGGCCGTCTGTTATGGTCATGAGATCGGGAGGTCGTTGTGCACTTAGGGAACCGACGGACCCCTTACTTGGGACCACAGATTGTGCAGTTTGGAATAAATGATTCATTATTCATCTCTTGACTCTGTCCTTCAATATCTCTGTGTTCCATCTTCCAAGAGAGTCCTCGAGCTACATTGTACAGCCGAGTTTAACAAACAACACTGTCTCTAATTCCTGCTGAGGACTGAAGGACTTTTGGGCTAAAGTTCTTTAGAGGACACTTCAACACCTGCTGAAGTGTAACTCACGAGTTTTTTCGTGTGAATAAAGATGTTCCTTGAATAAATACTTTACAATGAGTGAAATGTGCAGGATCAGCAGAAAGGAAAAGTGAAGCAGCATTAAGATGAGGCAAAAGTATGAACATTATCTGTCCAGACGACTGTACTAGAAGATGAAAATGTCTATTGAATTTTCAGAGTATGTGAACTTCAATAAGACAAAGCCATTTCAGAACAATTGAGGGAGAATGCACTGAGAATGAATTGCTTTGTTTACCTTCATGCACTGTTTTCATATGATTCACACAAAGATTTATGCAGATCAAGTTGACTGCTTGAAAAGGTGATCGATTCTTGTATATTTTTGTGAGTATGATTTGTGTAACTGGACTTTTTTGGATCATGTCTCAGTTATTGTTATAGTTTTGCAAAGAGCTTCAGTCTATCCATGCAACAGTAAAATGCTTCATTTGCTGTCAATTGGCTGCTTCAGTTAGAGTAAGTCATGTCCTTGTCCTTGTAATCAACCATATTTTTATCCACATTCTGCTGTTTTCCATACCATGTGAACCATTCTGTTCCCAGTATCATTCATGCTTGATAGGAATATTTCGAACCAAATGAAAAATAGAGTAAAATGGAGAGTGAGGAGACTGATGAAGTGTTTCATAACGTGGTTCCATCCGAGCAACTGAAGCATTAAACACTGTGTTAAAAACCTTCTTCATTCCTGTCATTCTTGTACCTGGATTTACTTAAACAAAATGGATTGTGATGGTACAATGAATCTGTAACAGCAGAGTGTGTTTGAACTGAAGTGACATTTAAATTGAATTATTTCATTTTTGGAGGAATTTCAGTTATTCATCATAGCTGTTGAAGTACCGCAGCAGTATTGGATACTGGTGTGAATTTTAACTAGCTTAACAAGTAAGACTCAATCACCATCTCAAGAAAGTCAAAAACCATGGCTAGGCTAGCATAAAACGGTATCTTTTTCTTTCTATGAAAACTTAACCTTTCATATTCTCTTCTAGTGTTCTGGTTTTTGTTGTTATTTTTTGCTTTTGTGCAGTTTAACATTTGGATGAAATCCTCTTGTGTATTCATTCAGTAGATTTGCCCTCATTTGTATGGTGAGGAGACATTGATATCAGACTAGCATTAGCACACACTCGCTAGTTTTTATCTCCGCCCTTTAGATTCCAGAACACACTCTGCATTCACCTCATGCTCTGTTTGATATTTGTCAGACATCAGCATCTCAATGAGAACCTGTCAGTTGAGGTCAGAGGAAGGTAGGAATATATCCAAACTCCAAACATGTGTGGAAGTTTTAGCAATCTGTCTGTGGCTTTGTGTCAGAGAACACGAAGCACTTTTTTTTATTATTGTTGTTTTGGCTCTTTCCAGTGACTGACACTGGACGATACTAAAGCTGTAGAATGGTAACACATTCCATGCCAGAAATGTGAACGAGGTAGCGTTTCTGAGGTGTCAACTGTTCAAGTGTGCCCCCCAGAGGTGGCTAGTGGTGGGTAGAATTGAATCACTGTTAAAATAAAAACAGCAGGAAACTGTCAGTAGTTATACATGTCAGGATGTCAGTAGCTGGCGAGCCACTGTGTGTGTGCCTTTGTGAGAAGGAGCGGTGATGAATGAAAAACATGGAGCCACACTCCATTTCCCCTCCTGCATTACAAAGGACACTGCTGAGCTCCTCTCCCAAGGGTGAGCCACTGTAGCATGACCAGATGTTTCTTTTTGCTCACAAGATATTCCCTATCGTTCTCGCCATCATTCATTTCGTTTTATTGTCACGTCCAATACCCTTAAATATCGCTGTTTTAAATTGCTTCATGATCCAGAGATTTTTCTGGATGTTTAGGTCATGTGATGGTGCATGATGTATCTCTATATTGGTTATACCCATGTGCAAAAATTTACTTGGAGGTGGGTTGCCTGAACAGCTAGTCAACTAATTGGTCTTAAAGAAAGCCCTGTGTAATTACAGGGCTTTGTTGTTTGGGGTTCACCTGAACCCAATCAGACACGTTTTGTAGGGGCGTTTACAAACTGTGTAGCTGTCAGTACACTAATTAAAATGTCTCTAAAATATCAAAAATACATGTGTAGGGAGCTTTATTCAACTTAGGGCACTTTTATGTCACAGGAGTTTATTTTTATTTAAACTATCAAGTGTACCTTCTTACTTTTAATGTCTTAAAAACCTTTTACTTTTCATCATTTATTTTTCATTTTTATGTATTTTTTTATTCTTTTTCATTTACTTTCATGGTTTTACAACTCTTTTACTACTAAATTATTTTATGTATAGAATTTTTATAGAATTGTTAATCTGTTTATAGATTCTTGTGTTTTATATCAATTTTTAATCTTTTTATTTAATTTATTTCAGTCTTGCACAGTTTTAAACAAATTTCTAACATTTTTAATGTAGATCCATCATAAATATTATTTATACTGTATATTACATAAAAAACATTTTAAAATACATTATATAATTAAAATATTAAATGTAAACATAAAGTCGTGAAGTCGTGGCCTAATGGTTAGAGAGTCGGACTCGTAACCCAAAGGTTGCGGGTTCGAGTCTCGTACCGGCAGGGATTGTAGGTGGGGGGAGTGAATGTACAGCGCTCTCTCCCACCTTCAATACCACGACTGAGGTGCACTTGAGCAAGGCACCGAACCCCCAACTGCTCCCCGGGCGCCGCAGCATAAATGGCTGCCCACTGCTCCGGGTGTGTGTTCACGGTGTGTGTGTTCACTGCTGTGTGTGTGCACTTTGGATGGGTTAAATGCAGAGCACTAATTCCAAGTATGGGTCACCATACTTGGCCACATGTCACGTCACTCACTCACTCATATGCCTTTTGAACATTGAATATTTATTGTGTAAAAATTTTTAAACATTTATATTAATGCAGTATGAGACAAAAAGAAAAAAGAAAAATATCACTTGTTAGCAGAATATTTTTTTGTGCTTCATTTCCAGTCATGCTGCATTTTGTTAAATTGTGTCAAATAAGTGTGAGAATATAATTGCATTATAGTGATGCCTTTATGACACATTAAATGCTAGTTATTTTTAGCTTTTCCAATTCCCACTACAGTGTCACTGAAAAAAAAATGACAGATTTATAATGTATGTGTTTGCACTGTTAGACTTTGTTATTAAACAAATTAAATAAACTAGTTAAAGTGTAAAAAGTGTGTTTGTTTGGAATACAAATCCACAGGGCCAAAAGTGTCCACAATCTAGAAACTAGTTGACCTCAATAATCGACTAGTCAACCGTCATGTCTCATCCCTAATGTCCACCTCTAAACAACTGTCTTGCACAGGAACAAGGAAAGGTGGGTGTGATCTTCAATGTGGGCACAGATGACATCACCATAGATGAGCCTGCGGTCACCGTGAATGACGGCAAGTACCACGTGATTCGCTTTACGCGTAGCGGTGGCAACGCCACCCTCCAAGTGGACAACCAGCCCGTCATCGAGCGCTTCCCATCAGGTAGGACCCCACAGAGGACGAGGAAAGCCATTTTTGGGGTTTGGGGGATCCCATTACACGTGTGGTTGGTAGAAATAATAGGGGCAGCTTCCCTTGGGAATGGACACATGGGGTCAGAGAGAGACACTGTATATTTTCACTCGCACATCAGAGGGACGTTGTTTGAAGCCTTCGGCCTGGATTTGGATGCATGTTGAAGGCATGCCTTATTGAAGGGTACAAATTGATTTATAATTTCAAATGCGAATTATTTGGGTTTGAAGTGCGCTGTTTTTACCCTCAAACTCTTCCCAGAGAGTTTATGAGTCACCACATGCAGCGCCCAGATAACCACCGCATGCACAATCTAATAACAATTGCAAATTGACACATTTCCCCCCAAGCTGCCTTGCCTAATACATTCAGCCCGAGATGGATTTGGATCCTTTACAGTTCTCAACTTCAGCCAGCTTTGCTCTAGGCGGGCTGAGGAAGGTGTCTCTGCGCCTGTGAAGATCCTCCATCCCTGAACCGCGCGCAAACTTTGAACCACAAAGCGCACTTTATTTTTTTAGCATTAGCCAAAATGCCTCTCGCAGGTTGCTCTTTGAACCCCGGTGCTCTTGAGTTGTGGTATAGTCGGCGCCGTAAACCAATATTGCACAGCCTAAAACTTTTGTAACAAGCCTTGATTGATGATCCCAACCCTGCAGTAGTCATCCCATGAACCGTCCCCATCCTATACAGACATCTCGCTCTGGGGTCCCTTGGCCTTGTGTGCTTTCCAATTAGACTTGTGCAAACTCTCTCTCTCCCCACTGTGTGCTTAGGGAGCTGCCTTCCTCTCATAGCTGCTGTTCCACAGGAAGACATTTTCTCCGTCTCTAATAGCAATCCTGTCTTTCCCATCCTCATTTTTCATTCGGTTCCTCCGATGTGCTGCTTCACAGCAGGTTAGTGCAGCGTCAAGGAGTCCTTAGCAAAAATACAGCTCTAGTCAAATAAAGCGGTGCCTCGGCTCACCTGCTACGTTCCTTCCACCCCCGCGTGTGGGGTCTCGAAATTACCAGAGGTTGAATGGCGCTGCGTCCCTGCTGCTCGGGCTTGAGATTTCGTCTGATTTCTGAAAGGGAAAATTGGTTTTCTACTGCTGCGACATAGGCTTCCTATCCGCCAGGTCTCCCCCTAAGCCCCCTCAGGTGGCCAGAGTCAGATGGGGCAGCCTTTCCAAAGCGCGGGGATAAAGCTGGGCTTCAAAGTCGTCACAGTTGTGTCATGCTTCCTTTAAAACTGAGTTATGCGCATTTAAATGGAATGGCACGGCTTTTATGTGGCACCTGTCATCCCGGGGATTTAAAAAAACGATGATATAGGTCTTGCGTGTCATCCGACACTCACAAAGCTCACGTGTGTAAACGAAGCCGGCTGTGTATCGCTTAGATTAACGGCTTCGGTTAATTCAGTTAATTAAAACTGAGGATTAGATGAACGGATATGTTCCCCAATGGCAGATTTGCTGCTCCCTGCGGACACGGTTGCAACTGACCACTCGCCTCTGTATTTTGCTCAGCGCCCCATAAATAAGAATGTAGTGGAAGCCTATGAATAGCAATGCATCAGAGCGGACTTTATTGGATGGATCGGTTTGTTTTCGCTTTTTTCGCCGCTTACTCGTGGACGAGACCTATTTCAAGTTTTCTTTGAAGGTTCAGTGCAGAATTTGCCACACATGAGCTCTTTTAACAGGCTTATGGGAGTGGGAGGTTTGGCCCTCGTTCAGGTTGCAGGGTGGGTTGGACGAACGGAAGGCTTGTATCTCACACGGCTGTCACAGAAGGAACATGACACAGTATGTGGTATGTCAAAAAAAAATGCCGTTAACACTTGGCGTACCAACATCTCACTTCAAGAAAGAATACTTTTAACTGCAAAAAAAAAGAAAATTCTGTAATTTCACAGTATGTGGGTCAATGGCGTGACAGTGTTATCTTTTAATTTGTTCAAAAACATTGTTCATACATATGATGATTTGAATACACCTCTTTATGGTGGCCAAGTAGTGCACAACACAACAAAATTAAAAAAGCAAACATAAGCTCACAACAGAACGAAATTAAAAAAGCAAACATAAGCTGACAACTAATAATATATATAATTTATAATAATATATTATATATACAGTGGGTACGGAAAGTATTCAGACCCCCTTAAATTTTTCACTCTTTGTTATATTGCAGCCTAACTTAAATGATTTTAGCAAATGGCTGCAATATAACAAAGAGTGAAAAATTTAAGGGGGTCTGAATACTTTCCGTACCCACTGTATGTTAACTCAGATATGTAAATGTACATGTATTAAAGTTGTAAAGAAAAGGTCCTTGTTTTTATGAGATTACATATGTCATTGCTTTTTACATTATGATAACACCACATTATATGTTTAGAGCTTATACATTTAATACATTAAACGTATAAAATCTTGAAAATGTTTACAAGTTTTAAAAATCATACTGTATGGAAACAACATAAATACAAAGAAACTGACATGCTTTAATTTAGATTTTTATCATATGTCGTTGACCCATTTACTAGATTCGATGAAGAACTTACTGGAATTTTCTGGGAATGTCTCAGCCAGTGTGAAGTTGTATACGTGATGTCTGAGAGGAAATAAAACATCACTGTGTGGCAAACAACACTGACCAAACTGGTATAAAGGAGTATTAGGAGGACTTGTGGATTTTGACAAGATGGTGGTTGAGAGCAGGGAAGAGAAAACAGTGATATGAGCAGATTGTTCTTTTGAGTGAGTAACAGGTCCCGAGAGTTCATTTTAGCTCTAGTGAAGGGATCTGTCAGAAAACGGGAACTGTAGACTGTAGATACACGCTGTTCCTTATCTGGCAGCCATGACACCGAGTCAATTACATCTTTTGTGTCTTTTTATAATTACACGTGTCCTAATTTATGCAGGTACCTCGAGATTTTGATACTAGATGCAGCACTGATTGCATTGTTCTCACTCTGATTTCTTGCAGAGACCAGAAAATGTCTTCCGGAGCAGCTTTGACACTACCATTGTATAACTGCACATAATATGTGACATTATCACTGATATCATTGTTGTCTTATGAAATTTGATGTGTATGAAATTTCCCTCAAGTATTATTCACTACGATGACATCACAATCAACCAGACCAAAATTAGAAGATAAACGATCACTAAATATGTCCTCAAAGCTTTCTAAACAGAATTAAACATGCTCTAATTAGTCTCAAGCTTCTAAACTGTCTAATAACTAAGAATCCACCTTAAAACCACATAACTACCAGCATAAAGCTCGTTTAGACTTCCTAACTTGCTAAACTTGATAGTCTTGTTGCCATGTTTTTAACCATGTGACGCTTGAACTTCCAGATATTAACCTCTTATCTGTCTCTCTAAATTCTTTGAAGGGAACATTGATAATGAACGGCTTGCTATAGCCAGGCAAAGAATTCCATACAGACTTGGTCGGGTAGTTGACGAGTGGCTACTCGACAAAGGTAATAAAAATGAATTAATTAAACAATGACTTAATGACTTATTAAGGCTCTGTAAGAGGTGCAGTTCCCCTAAAACCACAAAGCTTCAAGCCATTTTGAATTAAACTTCCTAAAACCAAAGCCTTTGCATTGGCATGTAGTGGGCCAAAGCAAACCGTGAATTGTGGCTGCCTACTTACAATGTAAATCCAATCGGTCCTCTCCATGTGGCTTGTGCTTTTCAGATCATGTCCTTCACAAAGTTAGAACTGCACCGCTTCAGAGATTAAGGTTTAATCTTAAACATAACCCTGACTAACCCTCTAACAACGCTCCATAACTGCAACAACTGTCTGTAAATAGTTTCTTTTTTTGCTGTCTTATGTTTTCCTTCTGTGATCCCCTCTGACTTCGCTAATCTTGAAGCAAGGGTATTTAAAAACACTTTAACTATAAAATCTAGATTTATATTTTCCAATCCCAAGCAGTTAAAGGGACTATTGCTTCTTATAACACTAAAACCAGAATAACGTTTCAAAATCCCCTTTAACCCTTTGAGTGTAATGAATCAAAAAAAAAAAAAAGTTGAACCGTGTTGAAACTTAACCATGCTGTAATCTTTGGACCCGTGAGACATCTGTAAACAGATGAATCCTGCATGGTATTCGATTTTCCCCAAGAAACTCTTTCGGTTATTAAAGTGCAGAAACAATCTCAGACGCCTGCATCAGCACATTATCAAAGAAAATTGGGCATTAATGTTCTACTGTTGTGTGTAAGTTATCAGACTTTTTGGTTGGTTGCACCTATTTCATCTATATGCAAACTTCCTTTTCTGTGCTGAGCTAACATCACATCTAAATGTTAAGTGTAAAACAAATACGCTCGCACTGTTTTTTTCAATGAAAACTGACCTTTCTAAGTCTGCATATCTTCGTTGATTGAACTCGATAACATGCAGAGTATAACATGATCCAAAGTTCAGTTCTACATTTGTCTAAAAGTCATTTTCAGACGTTTAGCTCTTCCTTGTGCATCCAACTAACATCCTTTATCGATATATAATTTTATATATATATACGCGATGAGTATTTCCTCATAGTCTGATTTGTTTTCTGCTGTTTGATATAAATAGGGCGTTAAACTAAAGCTAATTCCGTCTTAAACCCCCCTAAATCGAACTAACTCAGAGGGTTAAACAGTCTAAATATTAATGAAAGACATTTTCGTAACCAAATGAGAGGAAAATTTATGTCAGCCTTTGCACATTTAGATGTGATTAACAATGTCCCTTTAACATGTGTAATTATTTATCAGTTCTAATCTATAAGTAATGATAATGACACAAAGCCCTCATACATCAGGTCTGTGTCCTGTATGAATGCTACATTTTACTGAGTGACAGGTCTTTGTGTGAGAAATTTGTCTGTGCCTCGTGCTCTCTATCTCAAAGGCTCTTTGGTCTCCTCATTCTCCTCCATTAAATCGTCTAACCTCTGTCACTGGGTCTCACATTTAGACGCAAAGAAGAGATCTGTCCAACCTTGAATTATTCACAGGAAAACCTTTTTTTTTGCCTTTATGCCTGACATGCGAGGAAATTAAATCTCATTGCACATTTTTAAATAGCAGGAGTAATGCAGCGAAATATGAATATTCTGTCGTTATTTATACAAATGTCTCATGTTGTTCCAAGCATCCGCAGGACACAAAAGGAGAAATTTAGATACTGTCCTGGTCGCTTTATTCCAGTGACTGAATAAAAAAAATAAAATGAATAATTTTATATTATAGATAAAATTTTTCTTTCAACAATTCTGAATCAATAAAATATCTTTAAAAAATCGTCCATACAAAGAATGTATAGACAAAAACAGTTCTCAAATATAAATATCTTCTTAAAATATCTTATTTTATATATACAAACAACATGACCAAATAATGACAGAATATTCATTTTTGGCTGAACTGTCATTTAAAGTTCCATGAGCTACTATCACTAAAGTGATAAAGAGAAACTGTCGTTCATACCGTTTTTCTCAGTAGTACTTTACATACTGTATTATGTCAGCATATGTAACCATCCTTAATGTCATACATTCATCAGAATAATCTTTCCACTGTACGATAAAAGAACATGTGCAAGTGGAAAGTGGCCATCTGGCTTCTTCCCGCTCTTTAACGACATGCCTTTCCGAGATGATGGTCTTTTTATCTCCACTCACATGTCAAACTTGGTTATTTTTAACTGTTAAAATCGAGACCCTACTTGTGTTAAATGGCAACCCTTCATTAAGCATTAAGTGGCTCTCACAGAGGAGATAACAACTGCCCACTTCATAATCAACTGTGTCAGAGTACCTGTTCATCAGGATTAAATGGATGGCGGCAGTCCAGCTCTCAGAGGCCAAAGGAAATGGCACTTTGAGTTAACCATCCTTTTCCTCTCTAAGTAGTAATTCTGAAGGTTTTGTTGGCATTAAATTATATCTAAAGTTTAGCCCGATTGCTTAACATTCCCTATTATAATTCAAAACCACTTGAATCAAACCTGTAGCACCTGTTGTAGCTTGTATAATAGTGATTTAGATTTATTGTATTTTCATGATCGTCAACTCAATGATCAATTCAACCAGTGGTGTATTCTATGTGAAATGACTTAGTGACAACTCAGTGGAGATTCAGGGGACAAAATCCTCATTGCAGAGGCATAGTGTGTTTGTGTTTGTGTGTGTGCCCCCATGTATGTCTATTTGTGGGGCTTGAGGAGAAACTCCTCTTGCCTCGGTGACACATTAGCATTTGAGCTGGCAGATGACACTTATTCATGCAGATTAGCATCAAGAAGGCCTCTGTCTCTGAATAAAACATATCCAAAACTCTTTACATACTCATAAATATTGTTTTCCAATTTGGTCCTCCTTATTCAGTTCATTATCCACAGCTCAAGCCCTACTAGTTTAATGAGGCTCAAATTATAATATACAGCCATTATTCTATAATGATAGGGGCTCTTCCATTGCTCCTCGATCTAGCCCTCATAGAGGAGCCACCTCAGGCTTCAGGATTGATCTTTGGCATCATGTTTAATACAACATTTTATCCCCTGCACTAACCAGGTCAGATATGGCTGCCATTAGAATTGGAGATTTCCATCGCCAGGTTTAAATGTTAAAAGTGTTATCAGCTGATTTAGACACATCATGTCGGTGACGCCAAAAACAGCTTGTACTGATGGTCGCTTTTTGCTTCTCTGTCTCTCCTTACTGTACTGCTCTCTCTCTTTCTATATCTCGCTCTCTCTCCATCTCCTCTCTGATCCATCACAGGTCGGCAGTTGACTATCTTCAACAGCCAGGCGGCTATAAAGGTGGGAGGTCAGGATAAGGGACGGCCGTTCCAGGGCCAGATCTCAGGCCTATACTACAACGGGCTGCAAGTGCTAAAATTGGCCGCCGAGGGGGATCCGAACGTGCAGGTGACAGGAAACTTGCGTTTGGTTGGAGACGCACCTTCTGTCCTGTCTACAGAGACCACCTCGGCCACTCCTCCAGCTGCGGCGGACATGTCCACCACCATAATGGAGACCACCACCACCATGGCCACTACCACCACCCGAAGACAGCGCTCTCCCAGCCTGAAAGACAGTATTACGCAGGTAAGGATGGGACGGTGGAAGGTGCATTCATCCAGAGAGACGGGCCTCTTGTTGGCCCGTCTCTCCTGAACGAGGGATTTTGTTGCGTTTATAAAGAGTTTTGTTTTACAAGATGTCCAGTTGGTATCAGCAATAAAAGAGCTGACAGGTCAGACCACCCTGGGGTAAAAAATCTGTCATTTATTGCTCGAAAAAGAGCCGTCACTCTACATCTGGAAGGCCCTGAAGGACAAGAATCATAATGCTCGGATTCGCATGTGTCAGGATATATCTCCCCCACATATGCTTTTCTTTTCATTCCTCCCACACATAGTATTTTAGTAGTCGCATTTCCTTTGAACGGTCCTGCAATTTTCTCAAGTCATTATTTTCTAAGCCTCGAGAAACATATTTAGAGCTGTAGCACTTTTCTTGTGAAAGCAAACACTTTAAACAAAACGGTTACATTTCTCTCCATTAGTCAGATTTCCAGTTTGACATCATTTTTTTTACTCTGATTAAAGGACTTGTTTTTTTTACAGTTGAATGTGTCAGGAAAATAATATCGTTTTAATTTTTAAAGTTTGCAATGAAATTTTGAAATTTACAAATTAAATATAAAGCACCTCAATGAAAACAATTAATTCAAAAACACTTCACTGTATTCTCAGTTCATAAACTTTTTATTTTTTACTTTTTTGTTAACTAGAAAGCATTATAGCATATTCAAGACTACCACAAATCATTCTCACAATTTCAGTAGTGCAACATTGGCATATTGCTAAAAAATATTCAGCATGGCATTGATTTCAATAGTGTAATATTAGCATGTTGCTAAACTAACAACAAAATATTCTTCACAGGATAAAATCCCAACTGATTCAGAAAACTCTGATCATTTTACTGTACAATTTATTGTATATTTATCAGGAAAAGTATATGTTTAATTTTATATTGTTGAAAATGCACCATAAATGTATATTTTAAATTCGCAATTTGCTTGAGGTTAATGTGTGTGTGTGTGTGTGTAGCAACTCAAAAAAAAAAACTTCAATTTATTCTGGTCACTATTATATACACACACTATATACTATATTCGCTATACACACACACACACACACACACACATATATATATATATATATATATATATATATATAGTATGTAGTATATTCAGAATGATAAAAAATCATATCATTCTCACAGTTTCGACAAAACCCTATGTTATTCAGCTAAATAACTTGGGGCCATCTACAATGTTGAGCCCTGATTTATTTGGGAATAAAGACTTTCCTTAAAATATTTGTTCCTCTCTTGTCATGAAAGCATAGACTGACCATTGTTGTTCCTAGTCCAGCAATTTTTCAAGTCTGTTGACAGCCTAAGAAAACACATTAACCTCAAGCAGCATCTGTAAAACGCTGGAGCACAAGGCTATTAATATGGAGGATACTGAGTGTCATATCTGACATGTGTGTTGTCTCGGCCCCCCATTTATCACATATTGGTAGCAAGTTAGGAGCGTTTGCCTCCCCCACTGTCAGCCTTTATTCATGTGGTGTTCAACTCCATTGATCAGGAGATGCACGTTGATAAGAATAAAGGCAAGCTCAATAACAATCAGTGTCAATCATAGTGAAACTGCCAAGATCCATAGCCACTAGTGGCACGCATTAGTGCAAATGAGGACGGGCACGGATTCTCTCACGTGTGCGCTGTGAATCACTTCTAATCCACGCTGTCCTGGGTGTAAATAGTCATACAAAGCAAAAGCAGGGAAATGGGGATTTGAGTGAGACAGCTTAGTGCCAAGGAAGTCCCAGTGCACCACTCCTCTCCTCTTCTCCCCAAGATGAGTAAGACATTTATATGGAAGAGCACCAAACACTGTGTCTAGACTACAAATTCATTCATTTAGGAACTATATTACCATTCACAGTGTAAAAAAGACATCTCTGTAGTTTACAGTTTTTTTAATTGGTTTGGTACTCTTTTCATAAGTAAGGTGTACATTTTCAAAACTCTTAGTACAAAACTTTAAACTGATCACACTTGTAATGCCACTAGTCATTCTTTCAAAACCTGATCTCATGATTTCATTGTAGTTGCACATATTTTCATTCCACATAATCGTTTCAGAAAACAAGATCATTGTGATATGTATTGAGAACATTTGGTTTAATCACCAAAACACAACAGCAAGATCTTTTTTCAACTTAGTACTTATAATAATCAGTTCATTCAGCAGCAAACAATACAAGGTACAGGTTTCAAATCACCCTCGGTGTGGAATGAATGTTACTGTACTGTAAAACTGTATACACAGCCATCACAGGAAATGTTACACTTACGTTCAGACAAAAGCTATATTAAAAAAAAAAAAAAACCTTTATACAACATGAAAATGTGATCAAAGAACACATCAAAAGTCATTTACATACGCAAGCAAAAAAAGAAGTATTTTATTTTAATTTTAGTTTAGAACAATACTGTGGTTGCATGTGAAAAAAACCCAAACAACAACAACAACAACCTGTAAATGTAGACCTGAAATTCACATTAATTATCAAGCCGGTCTTCAACATTTGGCCATAAAATATCATCAACATCACAGTGAATGTCTTCATTGTTCAGGCACCACGGGAAAAACCTTCTGGCATAACGAATCCAGGCTTGACATTGCTCTGCAGTTATATCACCACAAGCTTCTTCCATGGCTTGAAGGGTGACATGCTCATGGGGATGGCGATCATACACCTTCCACCTCCATGTAGAGAAGAATTCCTCAATTGGGTTGAGGAAAGGAGAGTATGGGGGAAGGTAGAGGGTCATGAACAGAGGATGTGCCTGAAACCATTCCCAAACCAGCTCTGCATGGTGGAAACTGACATTGTCCCACACGATAACATAGATGACATCTTCACCCTGACAGGCCTGCTCAAGCTCATTTAGAAAAGCTATCAGGTGTTCAGTGTTGTATGATCCTAGAACTGGTCTACAGCCTACCACACCATCTTCAGATATAGCTGCACACATTGAGATGTTTCCCCCCACGTTGTCCAGGCACTTGGATGGTTGCCCTTTGGCCAATAAGGTTACGTCCACGGCGTCTGGTTTTTGCCAGATTGAAACCGGCCTAATCAACAAAACTATACTTGTGATGATTCACAGCATCATCCAGCTCCATCACCCTCTAAAATAATAATTTGGTTAGCTCTTTTACAAATAATAGTTGACATTGTTAGTCAGTACTGTAAATTGCATGTCATACAGTACACCAATTTAGTGTTGTACCTGAACATATTCTGAACGCAGTTGTTTCACCCGGGCATTGTTTCTATCAAAAGGCACCAAGTAAATTTGTTTCAAGGGGTCATATGATGCTGCTAAAAAGAACATTATTTGGTGTATTTGGTGTAATGAAATGTGTTTATGCGGTTTAATGCGACCAGCACGGGATCAGCTCTTGGCATGACGAATCGGATATTGTCCTCTTTTGGAAGGCCAAACAAAGTAGTTTTGCTTTAGACAAAAGTCTTATAGGCTTGGAATGACATGAGGGCAAGTAATTTTTTTTTTTTGTGTGTGAGCTATTTATATATATATTTATTATACATTTATTTTCTAAAAATAACTCACATCAATCTCAAAAGAATGATGCTCTCCTATGTCTCTGTTCTGAAGAAGCTGAGAACATCGCCTGCTCCTCAGACAAGCAGGGTTCTGTGTTGTTAACTCCCGGCGTGGGCACAATGAAGACACAAAGCTCAACATGTCTGAAATATAACATGCAAAACATTACTTTTAACAATTATCTCTTCATCAGCCTCAAAATAATTAGGCTTGTCTTTATTACATAACGCCGTTCCCTTTAGGACACTACATTCAATTTAACCGCGAAAAAAAGATAACGAATTAACATGTAAATATGTTAATAACCCTTTCTTAACACCTCAAAAAATTGAAATATTGTAAAATCTTATGTAAATATGACATAAGACACTAACTGACGTTATATTAAAAGCTTCAGTAAAAAAAAGAGAGTAAAAGAGAGTTCCGTTAAGACTATTTCTGAGGCGAAATCCGCGTCCGCGTTCCGCGTATTATAAGTTCTTTTCGGAATATTTCCGCCTTCCGTGAAATCTCAAAATACTAACAGACTCAAACATTGAATGATGACTTTACATTTTTAATCTTTACTTACCATAAACCGTCTTTCACTCGCTTCCATCTGAAGACGCTGAGAAAATGGCGGCTTATCGCACTTGTGTCGTCCAATGTTAACCACCGCTGGGTTATAGATCAAGACCAATTTTCAACCCAAAATTGGGTTAAAACAACCCAACGTCCTTACCAAGCGGTCTCAACCCAGCGGTTTTTAGAGTGTATACTTGGACAATGAGCTCTGAAAACGTTTGTGGACAGAGACTTTGTCTGTGTTCCTTACTCTTCCCAGGGCTGTGCAAGAGGACCTGGAAGTATCTGGTGGCACTGAGTAGGGGTGGGCGCTATACCGGTATGAAAGTGACTACCAGTATTATGTTGTTCCATGATATGGATTTTGCTATACCGTGAATACCGTTATATATTAATTAATTCAAATTTGTCATTTATATAGTTTTGTTCAATTTGGTACACTTTGCAATTTTTAACACAAATGACGATAAAGAGTCGAGGCTGAATGTTTTTGTCCTCTTTGCGTGCAACGCCGTACTACACAGGCATTAGTAATCAAACACATCACAAATCGCCTTCTCCAGTGGTTCCCAAACTGAGGGGCGCGGCAAGGCTGAGGGATAGTGTACAGTCAGATTATTTTGCAAAAGAAACCTCTGCAGGGTGATAAAGACTACACTATGTAATTTTCCCGCTTATCATGCGGCCACTTGCCTGATAAGTAAATAATTGAGCGCAAAATATAAATTTGACATT